TGGGAGAACAAGTACTTATAAGTAGATATTTACTTGATTATATATTTTAAGAATGCAGAGCTTACAGAAATCCCATACCCAATGATAATTTTGTCATATTTTAATACATAACACTTCCAGTGTTACACAAGAGCAAAAGCAGCAAGCAAAAATCACACAATCTCTGTCAATAGCTCTGAAGACAAATTGAATCACTTACCAAAAAATCCCAAACAACTAGCATTATAAGGTCCCAAAGGGGGGGGGTGGGATGGGCTTACTAATTGTGTTTTCCTCTCATCATCAAATAGTGAGCTTTATGGTGACTCTTCAGTGTTCCTATAATGCTCACACAAATACATGGCCGAGAATCTTCTCAACAGGAATTATGCACACGTGCATGTGCACGTGCGTGCACACACATGAAAAAGGAAAAGAAGCAAGTATCAAAAGGTAAGAGAGAAATAATGTTGCAACCTGGACAGTTAAGAATAGCTGGACTATTTTAACCTCAAGCTCTAAGAATCTACTGCTGTTGTGCAGGTTATTATAAATATGGTAAATTTCTCCCTGAAATAAGTTACAATAAAAGGGGAAAACAAAATTTGATCTCATTCTTGTCTCCTGGAATGATAAAAATCTTAGCATGAATTTAAACACTGATATATTCCTTAGGAAATATTATTTATATTTGATTGAGTAGAAATTTGGACTGATAGAAGAATGTTTTTTATCAAAATTATTGATAGTGTCAATAATGATTTTCATTGACTTGGACATCTTTGCATCGCCAAATGATATTTTGATTGAGATTAGAGATTCAGAATTTCAATAGTAAATGCATTAATATCATGCTAAAAAAACCTGATGTTGATTTTAGTTAGTAAAATAAAATATATCTGTGTAAAAGTTTTAATATCTTTTTTCCCATCATAGGAATGCTTTATTTTCCTAGAAATTTTTTTTTCTACTTAATACTTAAATTTGAATGTGGTTCAGACATTAGAGCACTCCATATTATATATACATGGGAAAAGTTGAATTTTACAGTCCCCTTAATGAATTGTTAAAGAAGCTCATTTCTGTGCTAGATTCAAGGCTCTGTACATTTTAGGGTGTGACTGGGAAAACTATAACATTAAGGTGAGAGTGGAGGCCATATCTGCACTGTAATATGTCTGATGCCCCCCCAAACCTGCTGGACTGGATTTTGGTCCTTTAAAAAATGGAGAGTGTTTTATGATAGGCTTATGTCCATTTAAAGGAAACATTTAATTTTAGGATCACTGATCTTTTCTATAAACAAAAGAATAGCTTTGTTTTATTTGAAAGGCATAAAAGAAAACTAGTGTAAAGTACAGTGGAAAGACTGCTGTGAAACATGACTAGATAATCTCAGTATGTGAATTAAGTGAAATCAGTCAAGGCACAGCTCAGGGAACATAGATGTTGTTAATAATGGCATTCAGAAACAGGCAAAGGCAACTGGCCTGACTGATAAGTGCAATGATGAATGTCACATTCCAGATGACTAGAAGAAGTAGCTCAGGCAGGATTCACTGGTTTGGATCTCTGGACAATTCAGCACTTTGGACAGTTCTTGAAAGGTCATTTTCCTTAGATTGTCAGACCTACTCATTTATTTCTACTTCTTGGTGTCTGACCTATATCTATTTGTCACCTTAATTCCAAAGGAATGATCTGCATTCATCCAAAGAACTCTGTGGTTTGTGTTTCACACAAAGTCTATGGCTTAAATTCTAATATAAAGGTGCAAAAGTAATTTACTTAAAGTTATATCAAACTCTCTACTGGCCTTTGTTCTATTAATTAATACTAGATGATTAATAGATTTATAAATAATATTATTAATAAAATTAATGTTAAATCTGATTCAATATGCAAAGTTGTGGATGATATCATCCAGGTTATGGAATAGTGTTCCTTTTCCAACACCTAATGGTCATCCTCCCAGCCAAAGTCTCCTTGGAATTTGTATGCAAGGCCATTCAACCTCTATTCTATAAAAGTTGAGATGAGGCATTCAGGCTTTGGGGTGGTGGTACAAGAAGAAAGCCTTTTTAAGAATCAACTAAAATTCTGCCTCAGGCCATGTGGCATAACTGTAGATGGTAACTCAAGCACATTAAGGCTGCCTTGCAGGCTCCAGATAGTAACAGAAGTGCTCTTTTGGAGAAAGATCTTTGACCCAGTTTTCAAGAGGCAATTTCCCAACAGTACATTTGATTTCTAATCAATAAGTAATGGATAAGTTCCATTTTAGTTTTATCTATCCACCAAGATTAAAACTAGAACAAGTGACAATGAAACAAATAATGTATGCATGTGAGAAATGATTAAAAGAACACATTTTTCCACAACTACGTTATAGGTGGACATTTCTTGTTCTAAAACCAGGAGGTGGGGGTGAAGAAAAGACACAAGAGAAACTGGATTTCTTAATGATGCCCAGCTAAATTTACCAGGTGTTTTCTAGAGCATTTATTTGATCTTTGTTATTAAAAAGAAAAAAAGTAGCTCTCAAAGTTGCTGGCAAGAAATATACCAAATTGGGAAAGCACTTATTTATGGGTAAGAAGAAACAGGAGTTCTCTCTCTCTCTCTTCAGCTGCATTGGAGGCCTTACTATGCTGGCTTGCAGATTGGATTTGGGAGGCTCCTTTCAGGCTTAAGGGCCCTACATGAATAACAGAAGGTCTGTAACCTTGATGCTGAGAATAACTCAATTCCCTCTTATTTTCTTGACTGCATTCACAGAATACTACAGATGGGTTTTTCTAGTCTGGCTGAGAACACTAAAGAATACAGAAGCAAAGAGGGGAAAGGGAGCAATGACCCAAAAAGTGCAAAAGGGTGAACATATAATATAGAGAAGCAGACTTTATAAGAAAACTATAGTGAAAACTTGACAAATATAAAAGCTCTCCGGTCTTTGCACGTGATTACTCAATACAGTCTGAAAGTATCAACAGAAGAAAGGGCATCTTCTACGTTTCCTCAAGTGATAGCTCACATTAAGTGGTAGCCCTAAGTCTAGAGCTTGTGACTAATGCTGTGAAAATGCAGTGTATTAGCAGGTGCATCCCATTCGTTCCTTATCTGTAGTTACAAGAAAATCTGCAGATATTGAGATTTGAGAGTGTTCTCTAGGTATCCACCCAGTTGGTTATGTGATTTGAGGAAACAGATTTGTATTTATCCATGTACACACTGTGTATTTGTAAACGATGGTACTGAAACTCCTGACAACATTGCATATTAAATCAGTCTATAGTTCAACTGTTCTGGGTCCTCTGGGGTGATGAACAAGTTCACAGAAAACTATACTCTCAGTGCTGAAAAGATATCTGAAGAAAAACCTGACTGACAAAACTTGGTTATGTTTGAATAGTTTCTGGATATTCCCCTCAAAAATTAATTGTATCCTAAAATGTAGCATGAGCTACTTTGGAAATACTGGTATTAAATTTCATGATATTGAGTTTATTATAAGAACAATGAAAACTTAACATGAACATCTGGTTTAATGTTTTTCATCTTTGATACAATTAGTCTAAACAGTCTTTATACAAACAAAAGAAAAAGGCATATTGTTAATCAGCTACTCTTGAAATGATCTTGTATGTTAAATTATTGGCTCTTCACTACATAAAAATGGTATTTAAATAAGGTAATTAAATACATTACCATTAGTATAAATGCAAACTAATGTCTGTCACTAAATGTCACAAAGCTCATAGGAAACTTTAGGTTATTTGACATAATTATTTTCTATGATTTATACTGATAGCATTTTTCATATATACTTTAAGGCAGCTGTCTATTATCAACAAAGTTTCTTTATTTAAAATGTTTTCAACCAATCTCTACTATATTTTATTCTTGACAACATGAAGAAGATACTGATCTAATGCATTAAATAATTCCCCAGATATTCATGCTTATTTCCTGGAAATGTAGCAATAAGTAACTAAATGTCTCAGTAATTTAGGCAAATGTCTCAGCCTATGTTGCCTTGGGAATGCTAAGTAATGGAAGAAATTTGAATACTTCTAACAACTTCAAAATACAGAGTTCTTGCATAACTATAATCCATTGAACCATGTGACTAAGAAAGTAAAGGAAGAAGTGGGCTAAGTTGTTAACATGGCAAACTCAGTTTATCTGATGATGGTTGGTAGAATTCAAGTGCAGGATAGGCTAAGCAGTCATGCAGATGAGTTTTGTTTCTCCTATCACTCACTACTAATTGCAGTTCATTAAAACTAGGTTCGTCTTTGGACTTAGTATATGCACACATATTCCACATGTATAATAACCACAAAATAGGAATAAAAGGCAATATTTTTCTTTTTAGTTATTTAAAAATCTTGTCTTACGCAAGCACAGATACATAGTTTCATTAGACATGAACTAGATGCCTACAAAATAACAAGCATGATCCTGTGAAGCTAGGTTTCCAGCTGAAGCAGATTCTGGCTCATATTACGGTGGTGCTCTTTCCACTGGAAAGTCCTTCTCAAATTCACAGTTCTGATTTCAATTCTTTTTCATATGTGACTCAGGTACCAAAGGAGACTTGCTATTGCATAAGTTTAAAATTCATCTATGGATCATATTTTCCTACCCTGTCATTGTGCTTCAGAGGGAGTAAAGGCCTGTGTTGTGGAATAACTTGAGAGAGCCACATAGACACAGAGCACTGCCCTCCTTTAGATGCCACCTAGAGTTAAAGACTTTTTTTTTTTTCCTGGAACATCACAGCTTATCCCCAGGAGACAAACACAAGGATCTTCAGTGGATATATATACATACATATTTCCCTCTGCATCTTAAAGTCGAATTAAGATATATTTCAACTGTTTCTAAAATTATCTTGTTAAAGTGCCCAAACCAAAAGGAGCAGCACATTGGTAACCTGGTGCCCTGACGCGCTTTAATCAAATGAACAAAAACTTTGATGCAACAATGAATAGGTTTTGCAGGGCAGTTGTGCTTACCTTCATAAGTCCCGCTTTCTAGGAGAGCACCGCTTTTCTCCAATTCCATAAAATCTTCAACGGTGATGAAAATGTAGTCCACCCCAGGGACCTCACCCTCCTTATGTGGCCTTGTGGTGCCTGAATAAGGAAAAATCAAAAACAAAAGAAAGACTAAGTGATCTGCTGCTGAACTTTAGAAATACCACCAGACTTCTGAATATTCAATAACACTTGTTTGTACATCTTGTTAGTCGGCAGTTTGTGTTTGTCCTTCTGTTTGTTTGGCAACAGAAAATAGCAGGGGGTAAAGATTAAAGTAAACATACAAAGCATTTTTCTTCATCAAGCTTTTATAAAGAGTTCATTGCCATGGAATGTAGCTGCATAGATTTTTTTTTTCAGAGAAAACTGCAGACCATTGTGCCCTTTTTGAAGAGGTGGTTCGAATAGTGGCCCAGGAGTTTGCAAGCTCAGGAATTTACATATATTGTTCCCATGAATGGACCGCTGTTGTGCTACAGATTGCTGTGCTGCGACATAAAATACAACGGAAAATACATCTTGGTAAAATGTCAACTTATCTTTTTATTTTCATGATCTGCTTTCTTTTGGGGGGACACTTTTTGTTAATTTTATTTGTTAATGTTACACCCAAAATAACTCATATTGGATTTAAGTGTCAAAAATCTTTACTATGACTTAAAATTTAATAATTGAAACTGAGCAATAATAAAAATTGCATTAGTAATTATAACTGGGATACTGAAATATCTAATTTAACAGGAAAACTTTGACTCCATGACACAGCTTTCTTTTATTGTTACATCATAGTTCTACATAATAGTGGGATTTATTGTGGCATATTCATGCATGCACATAATTTGGTCAATTTCATTATCTAGAAGCCACCTTCTTCTCTCTTTTCTTCCCTCCTCCCATTCCCATTTTGTACTCTACTAGTTTCTCTTCTATTTTCATGAGATCCTTTTTTTCTTTTTTTCTCTCTTAACTTTCATATCTAAGAAAATACACGACCCTTGACTTTCTGAATCTGGCTTATTTCATTTAAAATGTGTTCTCCAGATCCATCCTTTTTTTTTTTTTTGCAAATGATATAATTTTATTCTTCTTTGTAGCTGAATAAAATTCCATTTTATATGTGTATGTATGTATATGTATGTGTGTGTATATGTATGTATGTGTGTGTGTGTGTGTGTGTGTATATATCTCAGATTTCCTCCATCTATTCATCTGATGATAGACACCTGGGCTGGTTCTGTAACTTGGCTATTGTGAGTTGTGCTGCTTTAAACATGGGTATGCACACATCACCACAGTCTGCTAACTTGTAATTCTTTAGGGTAAATACTGAGGAATAGTATAGCTGGGTCATATGGTGGCTCTATTCCTAGTCGTTTGAGGAAACTCCATTCTGATTTCCATAGTGGCTGTACCAATTTACATTCCCAATAGTATATAAGTGTTCCTTTTCCCCTACATCCTCTTCAGCATTTATTATTATTTGTATTCTTGATGACTGCCATTCTAACCAGAGTGAGATGGAATCTCAGTACCCAGGTTTTCTAATACCTCCCTTACATAGCCTTCATTCATTCCTTCATTATGCCTAATTCTGACTGAATTTTGAGATGATATCTTCCCAGGGTCTACTGCTTACTGCCACTGCTTCTGCTTCCTATATCACCTATACAGAGAATGGAGGTACTGAGGGCCAAAATAACAAGACCATAAGTCGCTCACCCTGTGGGTAATCCAGCTTTCCTGGAGAGCACAGCCTTCCAGGCCTTCTCTCCAGCTGGGAAAGCAGAAGCAAAAATAGAGAGGTGTTGAAGTTTGACCATGCCCTAAGCTTCTTCCTTTCTTTTTCTCTGTTAACTACCTAGGGAATTTGGCAAGGGCAGATTTGCATTTACATAATGCATACATGCAAATAAGTATGCAGAAATATACAGAGGGCAAATATAGAAGCAAGGTGGCACATTGGCAGACTTCTTCATATTTCAATCTTTTCCATATTGTCTCCAAACTAAACAAAAAGTATTTTTTCCAACATATTATTTTTATTCTCTGAATTTGAAATCTTGATCAACTAGGTCATGAAAATCACCAGCTAGTTCCTTTTTTTTTTTGGTCTATTAGGATCAAGCCTGAACTGCTGATGAGAGACATAAACTACTGTCAGGATGTACAAGGTACTAGGAAAACTGATTTGGGGGAAAAACAAATAATTCCTATTAAAATCATTTAAAAATTTTTGAAAGCATTATTTTCTAAAATTGTTTTATAATCCTTCTTTGGGGGTTACAAAACAATTTTTTCTATAATAATTTTTAATGCCTTACCTTGAATTTGTTATTGTATTTGGTTTAACTGAGCTGCATTCTGCAGTATTTCCTACTGCTTTTATGCTCTAAAATACAAACCTCCCACACCTAGTATGCATAATTTTGTCAAATTAATGTTTCTATGAGAACCTTAACTTTCAATATCCTGACTTTTATGTGCTTAACCCTTGTGAATTAGAAGGGCATTAACATGGTTTTTGGCAATCAATTTGTTTTTCTGTTTACTTAGAATGCACTCTAATCATTAAGAAAAAAATCATATAACAAAGATTTAATTTTCCCTAATTCATCTGCATGTTTCATGCAGATGAAGTTACATGCTTTGATTAATTAACTGCTTGCAATATGGTAATGCATTTCCAGCACCACATGGGCACAGGCTCACATGCTTTAGGGCAATTTCCAGGGCAGCTGACCTATTCAGAGCAATTCACCTGAACCAAATGCTATCGAACGAGTTATGGTTGTGCTATTTTTGGTTCACTGAGTGGTTCTACATCTCCGCCTTGTACCTCAGGCTTCTGTGACTGATTTGCTGCCTCTGTGATGTGTCAGTGTCACCTGTCATTGCCTGCCCATGCTGGTTGCTTACCTCACTGACACTTGAAGTTCTACTCCAATTTCAAATGCTGCAACCCAAACTTTGACATCTCTTCTCCTCATTTCTGTTTCTGACTTCCAGTTCCTTGATCTCTCCTTCTTCCCTGTGTTTCCCAAACTGGCTTGATTTGCCTCCCTAGCTACTCTGTGACGAGGAGCAACCTAGAACCTCTCCTTTCCTTTAGTTCAAAATCACCATTTGAATCACTTGTAATAAGCCCCAAATTCATTCACAGACTGCAGTTGCTAGAGAAATTTATAAGCTGACAAAACGCTCTTCAAATTCAGGCTATTTAAGGTTAGTTTGATTATAACACTTGGAACCCTTGTATATATATCTCCATGACTTCCTGTCACATTCCCACCACTTTCTAATGTTCAGTTCCTCTTTCTGCAAGAAACTTGAACTCCTTCTTTTCTTGGTTAAAAAAAAATCAAATTCCCTAAACTTTCCTAACTTCTGCTTACCTTACCTGCATTATCCTCATATTTTCTCGTTTCCTTCAAAGTTAACCCTTGCTGAGATGAATCCCTTCTCCTTTGCTTCCTTTCAAAATTTTGTGTTTTTTTCCTACATCAAAGTTACATACACAAAATTGAACAATTCTATAAAAATTTGTTATTTTTTTTAAATAGTAGGCCTTCATCACCACTCTCCTCCCACACATACAATCTTTCTTTTACCCAGGGGACAACATGCTCAACTCTTAATTGAGTCTTTTATTTTACCTCCATATCTCTAAATAACATATTTAAGATACCTCTTAATGTTTTACTTTAATCACTACTTCTTGATTTGCCATTAAAAAAAAAAAAAAGATTAGAGTCTATTTTGCCCACCGTTCTACACAAACACACACACACACACACACACACACACACACACACACACTTCCTTTTCCTTTCCTTCTTTCATTCTTCCAATTAATTGAAGAACCTTGTACTTAGAGGACTACTTAGTGTTTGCATTAATGATGATGTGTACATGTGTTTCCTGCTAATCCTTGTAGTACACTGACTACTTTCGCTTTCTGGTGTAACTTTTTGATTACTTGTAATACTTTGATTTCTAATTTTTCATATATGAATCATTTATCCAATTAATGAACTCTCTCATTAGATTTTGAAATATACAAATATGTATAGTAGTTTATCAGGTTTGTCCTGCTGAATCAAATTCTTCAGGGACCTTCCACCTGCTCCAGTTTGGATTGTGTCAGCCTGCCCCATGGCTGTCATCCTGGGACAAGCCATTGCCATTAGTCTGGAATTCTCTGCTTCTCTGTCTTGGGAGGTAGCTTTTCTTTCCCAGATCTGTGCCTATTTTGGGGGTCTACGCCCTCATATTAGCAAAGTACATCTTTCAGAAGCTTCTTGTCAAAGGTAGCATGGAACTACATTGTGTGGAGATTTTGTATGTCTGAAAATGTCTTATTCCACCCTTACAGGGGGTAAATCTGACAGCATTTCAGGAAAACATTATGAAAATGTATTTCTCCATCTTGCTTCTCTGTGAATCCATCAGCATTCTTCCTGTCTTGCCAGCTTGAACTTTACCCTCACGGTCACTTTTGAGTCCTCCCTTACTCTTTTATTCCACCTCCAAATATTTAGCAGGTTCTATGCCTGAAATTCCACGATGCCATCCTTCCTGTCTGCACTACTTCTGATACAGGACTTCCAGCCTGGGTCAGAAAACGATAGATGCTTCAATGATGTCTTTACCCATCTCTTAGTTTACCTTTGCACTTCCCAATGATCCCTGATAAACAGCAAAAGGATGTGGCTGGACTTATGCTTTATCTACTCAATCTCTTCTCAAGAAGGTGGGTTATAAAAGGCAGAGAAAAGAGCTAAAAAGAGTCAGAGAAGGTTCAGATCCTATTGTGTACAGTAAAAGGCAACTCTCATGGGATTCTTCACATGTACTTGCCTTGATGGAACATGTAAGAGAACATAAAATTAAGAATTTTCTGCTAAAAAATGCTTTCCTTTCTGGAATGGCAGGTGTGTCACTCTGCTTTTGCTTCAACCTAAAATTTCCATCATTAGAACTACTCTTTGGTTCAAATAAAAGAGAAACTAACTTTAAATTGTATGTGCTAGTATATAAGAATTTGAGCTGTGAAATCAAACTGCCTGTGCCTGTTGGGGCTCTATCACTCGATATCA